CCCCTATCTTTGTTCTCTCCACCGGAGCGAATTATTATTAATAATGCAACGTACGCGACTTTGCATAAAGTGAATAATTGCATGGCTACACTTATTGACACATAGACCGTTTCGAGTTGTTCAAATTGTTTCATCTAGGGTATAATTTGGAACTTAATCCTCAAGTAAAAATATTCATAACAAATTTCTAGCTGGAACATGTGACATAATTTATTTTCACATGCATTAAAATTAGGCCGATACATCCAGTTGAGTCATGTAATGTTGCATAAAAAGCGTTTAACATTTTGGAGTAATCGAATATTTTTACGTAATCATCAGCAGTTAAGTATGTCGTATATACCGAAACGACAATATCGCTTCAAAACTAATACTGGTGCGATAAACTTGGGACTTAATAACAGTCCACGTTTAAGCTCATGAAAGTTTTATTATATCCGGTGAAGATAATCGATCCAATCGAAGGCAAGCACGTGATTGTGGCATCTGGATAGCGCCGTTAGGCGTGTTTCGTCTTTAAACAGCAACGGCCTTGCCATGGTTCCGCGAGACACGCAGCTTTCTCTACTTTCGCTTATGCGAGATTTTCAGGTTGCCGTTTAGCGCCGTTTACGCGTGTTCTGAACGACGCCGAGAAATATTGCATTCCATGAGAGAAGAGGAGAAAATTCGTCCTATTCGATATGCAATCGATATCGCCTTCCAGAGATTCGTTTATTAAATTATCCTTGTGAATCAGTCAATTAAATTGTAGTATATTCCGAGCAATTAGCGAGATGATTAATTTATGTAGAAAAAAAATTTTTGGCCGCGATCAAAGTGGATCAAAGTTCTAATTAAATGGTAATATTTATTTAATCAAGCATTACATTTATTTAATGTAATATGGAATCCTTTAAAACCCTTTTGGTTATTTTGTTATTTATAATAACCTTCAGATATAAATACATATATTTTAATAACTCTCTGTTATAAATGTTTTCTAGAAATTATTTTCGCCGATTCCTATAATAGATAAAAAGACTAATAGATAAATTCTACAAAACATACATTGATTGTGAGAGAAAGCGTTTATTATTTATGACTATAATTGCCTAGTTGAATTATGGATTAAGTAAAATCCATTACTATGCTATAATGATAGTAATAATTATTATATTTATACTTCTAGATATCAAAATAATATATAATTTATTATTTTTGTTGCTATCTATAGGTATATGCATATATTTTTTTAATGTATAATTTTTTACCTTTTTAGCAATTTTAGTCACTAATATTAAACACTTTTCTCTCAGTATACTATCTTTAAAGATACGTCTTTGTTGTTATGAAATTTATTAACATGCCTTGTGCGGATAAATGGAATTTGATCGTAGGTGAACCTCCCATTTGCGCGCTGCAGAAAAATTATCTAACAAAGGCTTTACCGCAAGTAGAAGAGATGCATGTCGATTATGCGAATAGACATTTAAATAATGTGAAAATGAATATAATGCGATTACGTTTATGGTTACCACAATACTGCAGAAGCATATATGAATATTTAATATAAAGTAAATATCCCAATGATTGAACTAATAAGAAGATACGATCAATTCTATATTATTATTAATTATAAATTAAAATTGTATTACAAATGCAATTAATATTTATATAAAACTTTGTTTTGTCGATAATTGAAAAATACTATCATATATGTTAAAAAAGAAACTTACATGATTGATATATTACATCATTAATTGTATCGGTAATTAAATTTCTAATAAAAAATAAGTTTTATAAATTTAGTTTTCATTTATTATAATAAAAAAATACAATACATATTTAGATAAATACAGTACAATATTTTTAAAAGTTTGAAAACGTATAAAAACATCCATACAGCAAAGATCATTATTGAAATATTGCAGCAACTATGTAACATTCCAATAATAATGTAACATTGCATGTTGCTGTAAGTTTCTGTATAAGATTATGTCTTATTCAAGATGATAAGAAGATAAGTAAAAATATGACTATCCTGTAAAATTTGAAGGGAATAATTTTTTTGCAATAATTTTCAATTAAACTTATATATTTTTATTACTTGTTCTGATACAAAATATTTAACTTCTCTTTAGATTGTCATTTTTGCTGTTATTGACAAATATGTTGTTTCTTCACTGGGCGCATTTAGTTATTAAGACAATAACCTTGCTCCCTAATCTTTCGTGTATAATAACATAGAACTAAGTTAGTACGATATATATATACATGACCTCGTGTACAATCTCTCATTTACGATCGCTCGATAGCGATTGAGGTACCTGTTGCTTGCAGAATAAAACTTCCATCAGCGACGGAATCCTCTTGTTGATTAAGCTTGTCTCGAAACGATTCTAAACGAAGACGAAAGAGAGGCTGGAATGAGGCATTGGAATGCAACCGTCGGCGGCCGGTTGGTATTTCACGCGAGGTTACTATTATTTTTTCCCTATTCCCGCGTTTGTCCTTTCTTTTTCCCCGATTCGTCGATCCGTAGGTAGAGAATAATGGTGGGTTGGCAGCATGCAAATCGATATATTCTGTATAATTAAACGTGTACGCTCAATGTCTTGCTGTCATATAACAACATAATGTCGTTAATTTGCCTTAATTAACTTACACTTAGTAAATAAGATAAAATATGAAGACAACTTGTAATTGTGCTTCATGCTTCAAGTCATTATAATGCGTGCGACATGCTCTTCACTTTTGTATGAATTAATTCGAGTTTTGCGTGGAAGTTCGCGTGCAGTGTTATAAATAATTACACATCCCAAATGGGAATGTGTAATTATTTGCCGCACCTAATTGCTGACAAAAAACTCCAAACTCTTATCTACTTTGCTGTAATTAATCAACAACTTTTAATCGTGAATAATAAAGATGTATAAGAATAATATATGCAACATATCCTGGTTAGTAAAAGTCAGAATATGCTCTAAATTTTTAGAAAGATTATGTTTATAACGTTTATGAAAATATATATTTAAGAGTTTTGTTGACGATTACATTATTTATAAGAGTTTTGTTGATGGTTACATTGTTTGAAAATAACAAACTTGGTTAATCCTCTGTTTCATTTTACAAACACTTAGAAAACTATAGTAGAAATATTTGAGACTCTCTCTCTCTGTTGTCATTAAACGTTACTTGATATTTCACAATCATAAACATCTCATAAACAATTTCCATGTTTAAATTTCCATTTCACAAATCACTCAATAAATTTGAAGCAAATAAAGCATCTACTTAATACTAAGCAAGTTTTTTATTAACTTTCAATAAGTTATTTTTGTCAGGTACGAAATATGTAATGTTTATATAAGAATATATAAGAATATTTTTTAACTATTAGGTGTTGGAATTAATTCGTAGCGTTTTACAAGTGATGGGAAGTACTTTCATTAATGTATTTTTTAATGCTCATGTGAAATAAATAACATTCTTTCATTAAAAAACGCTACGAATTAATTCCAACACCTAATAGAATATGTTTTTTAAATGAAAAAATTATGAAAAATGCAAATTTTTGTATATTGCTGTCGAAACATAATACAAAAAGTTTCGTGACGCTTTACAACCAGGATTAAAAATTATTTCAATGAGAAGTAGACATGTTTTTAAAAACAATTAAGATAAAATTAAAAAAATTTTATCTAAATCTTTTATTAAAGAAATTTTTATTAAAATTGAGTTGCTGAATATAAATATTAACCTTATTGAACATTGTATTTACTAATATTTATTTTTCGGAACATCTAAATTTCCAATTCCAATCATTTTTTGTAAAAATTATATACCTGATACATCCTCATAAGAATTTAATGATATATTTTAGAATACATTAAATTAGGTGATTTAAATAATATTTAGATAAATTAGTAAATCGATAGTTTCTCAATAATTGGGCTCATCCTCGAAAGCGCTTTCTTAGACTTTCGCTTTCAGTTTTCTCGAGGCAGGTCGTAGCAGGATCAGATCGTCCTTAATTCGTCGCGTCATCGATGTCCGTCGCACAGTAAATCGAATTCAGATCAAGGCCGCCACAATCGAGACACGCAAGCGAGATTTTCAGAGCAATTACGAAACTGGAATGAGTCTCTCTGTCATGGCGCATAAATTGGAATAACCTCTCATATCTCGCAATGATGTTCGTCGCGTCTCGCAATTACACCAGCTGTAAAACTAACGATCCTTTGCCGGATCCAAATCGACCGACAAGAAAATGTGTAGGACGCGTCCTTGCGAGGGAAGTATTTTGCAATTCGCAAATAAAATTTCCCTTCGACGCTCGCACATGATAACAGATATTTTCCCCACAACGTATCGCGTAATTTAAACGAAACACATTAATTCCAATTAACTCGGAACGAGGGAGCTTTAAAAGCTTGCCGCAGCGCGGATCTATATTAACGAAGTAATGAGAAAAATAATAAACGGATGAATTTCCGCGTGCACGTTTTCTCATATCTTAAGAATAAATTCCTTCCTTTCCTTCATCGGAATGACGGTCAAGTTTGCGAGGCCTAAGCGTGCCCCACTTTCTAACCCATTACCGAACGATCGTAATGGTTAACACGTCGCAAATGAGTCAGGGAGAAAAGAAATAATGAAAACAGACCTGTTCATGTGTGATTTCTCAGAATCTTTTATTCAAAGGTTCGTCGAGAACGCTACGTTGGTAGTATCACTTAATTTTACAAATATACATACGCAATATTTAATTTTCATATATATATATATATATATATATATATATATATATCGGCAAACCCTTAAAAAAATAAGGGCATACCTCAAATCGGGGAACAATTGCCGATCTTCGAAGATTATTTCTGAGGACGGGAAAGAAGATTTAACGGGAAGAAAGCACGTGTTTACCGATAGATCGATATCGATCGTTGCTTTCATTGGGATATCGGAAATGCGATAAGAGCGAGGGGGGTTATATTACATATGAAATCCCACTCGTGGATCGCCAAGCCACCGCCATCGAAAGATCCGCGATTTCTCCTCGTAGGATCGGGTGGGGCGCGATATTTTGCTTTTGCTTCTGCCGATTTCTAGTGGATATGCGCGCAGCTCTCGTCATCGTCATCGTTATTGTCGTTTTTATGATCGGTCAACGTGACCGTCATTGCCGCCTCGTGGACTTCGAGGATGTCGCCTTCGGGAGTCTATCACAAATTACTGACGCATAATGAACGTTAGCTTTAATTACATCTGTGAACACGAAGCGGATAAAAAGTTTCATTTTACTCCATTCATCTTCAGTCCATTAGACTCCGTATTATTTCAACTGAACAGAACTAATCATCACAGATACGTCGTTCTCAACGATAAAAACAGCGAAAAATATTGGCAACTAAGGGCGATCATCGGAGTCTAACGGACTGATGATCTTTCTCCTCATCTTCTCCATGTGCCTCGTCGTAATCGCCGTCGCTCTCGAAAGTCTCGAGAATACTTGGCGTTGGTCGGTGACTTCCGGCGCCGTTGGATCGCGAAGATTCGCGACGTCCCTTTCGACCGACGTCAGGTTGAGGTACAGGGAGAAAAGGATTGGCAGAACTAAGGAGAAAGAGGAAAAATTTAACTTAGACGAGAAGAAGAATCGCGCTCGGCAGTTTAGAAGAAGCCGTCACCAGTCGGATCATTCACCCAAGGATAATTGTTGGGACAGCGGACACAAGTCTGAAGGTTGATGGTCTCGCCGGGCACCTCTTTCGAGGTCAGTTTACAGGTATGGGGCACCCAGCACGCCGGTGGTCCCTCCACCGTACACTTCTCCCGCCAGGGCTCAAAGTTCTTCGACTCGGTAATGGTGCGCGGATTCTGAATCCATTGAATCACCTGAGTCATCGTCACAAAGTACACATCATTGTGGCTCTGCAAGATTTCGTCAATCCAATATAAGAAGGCATCCAAGAATTCGGGATTATTCTTCAGCCAGGCGGCGTGGAAGTAGAGACCGAGAGGGGCACGATTCTGCTCGTAGTGACGATCAAAGTTGTGATTGAGGAAGTTATAGAATTGATCGCCGGTCAAGATATTACTGCACGAGTCCACCATAGCACAGCCGGGCAGATACTCATCGTTCTGTGGATCCTCACGCCGATCCAGCTCATTCATCACCATCTCCCACACGGCGTGCGATCTGCAAATATTCGTCATATTTAGGACTATCATTGTAAATGCGTTCAAGAATTCTTTATAGGGATTGATATTCACCTAGTGGGACAGTGTTGAAGATTTCCGTGACAACGATGCGGCATTCTGAAGTACATGGTGTATGGCCACAGCGGAGGGTTGTTCAAGGCCGCAGTGATGGTGGAATCATACAAGAAGGCTTGCTCCTCCATCATAGTGAACTGATTGTTACCGCCTACCCGCAGATACGGCGCTCTGACGCCGACTACGCTGTTATCCGTCAGATTTGCGAACTTCTCGGCGATGATCCTCATGCCAGCCATCTCCTTGGCCCACTCATCGACGGTAGCGTCCGACCAGAAGCGTTCGTCATCATTGTGCCTTGCCCCAAAGTTGTCATGTAAGCATTATGTAGTGACCATGTTCTGATTTTTAACAATTATGACTATGGTCATGAGCGACATGACATGACATGACGTATCGTGGGGACAGGCGTACTCGTGAACCTGTCCTCCAATTTACGAACTCATGAACCTGCTCTCCTGGGACTTTGCGGTAAGAACGGGTCTCTCCGTGATAACTTCGCGAAGAAAGTCAAACTTGGGACGGAGTTTTCTAAATGGCATGTAAATGAGAGAAATGACAGTGTTATTAGAAGGAGTCAATTCTTACGAGATTGAATGGACGGCGATTTCGTGGCCTTTCCTATGCATCTCCTGGACCGCGGAATAGTTGGTGTACTTATGCGATACGAAGAAGGTTGCCTTGATGTCGCAGCCGTTTGGATTCTTGCGCTTGCTGTTGAAGATCTCTTTATAGAGGCCAATGTTGTTGTTGTTAATGGCGTCATCGAAAGTAATTGTGACCATCTGAGGAACATCTTTAGACGGAAGATCACCGGGTATCGTGGTACCATCCTCTGAGCAGAAACAGTCGGGCAGGGTACATACAGAAGGATCGCATGGTGGAGCTCTATTGGGATCATTGTCCATATCTGGAACGTCGAAAAGATTGCAACCATTCTAAATTTAAATGTTTTTTTTTATTTTTCGCGATTAAATTACGATAAAGATTACTAATTTCCTTTAATGTCGACTTACCGCAAATGTTTTCATCAGAGCCGTCAGTGCAGTCCTTTTCTCCGTTACAGAAGAGACCCCTCTCGATACAAGCTCCATCACCGCAAGCGAGCAAGCCGTCTCTTCAGTTTACAGTTATTGACGGAATCCTTCCAGTCGCAGGTCTGCTTATCGATATCGAAGTACAAACCAGCCGGGCATCTTATTGCCTGCAGACCGGAACTCGTACACTGAATAACATCACGGCAATTGTCACCCTCGCCCGCGACCAATCTAAACCACTCGCCCGCATCCTTGTCTTTACAAATCTCGTTCTCGAAGCTTTCTTCTTTCTTCTCTTCTTGTCGTTTAACTCGGATCGAGCCCTCTGAAAGAAAACAATTTAATAAGCATTTTGTATTATCTGCAATTAATTATTTGCAATTTAATAATACTTCAGATTTAACCGCGTGTTATTACGATTACAATAATATAATAGGATAAATTCGCGTATCTAAAAGAATATAAATTGTATATGTAGCTTATTTTACAATTATTACAACAATATAACTATTTACAAAACTATTTATATTACTATTTCTACATTATTTTTTTATAAGATATAATTCGTTAAAATATATATATATATATAATTTTTCTGTATATTAAAAAAGTACATAGAAAAATGAGATAAGACTTGTCTAACAAGCTTGTAAACTTGAGAATATTACGAATTGATATTTAAATCATTAAGTTTAAATCGTCAAGCTTTTTTAAGAACATTATTCTTTCTTAGAATTTCTTTGAGAAAGAAATTTTCTTTCTTTCAGAAGAAATAATCTGTCAGAACGCACTTGATCCCGTTGGTCCCCCGGGCTAGCGAAATGACTTTGCGGCTGAGCAACAAACAGGGAAAGTTGTGCCCCCACCCGCACCATTTTCAGAGGCTTGGGGCACGGCAGTGACGTCACCCATCCGGGACCGACCGGACCGAGAAGCTTTCACGCTCTAATCTCTTATGCAATCTGTCCCGATGATCGACTCGATTATATTAAATTATCCCTTTTGTCACCACAAGCATTGCTTGTCTTCGGTTTAGAAAAAATGGAGAATCAGCTATGAAACCTCAGAATGGAAAGTACAAGAATAGACTAAGAAAATGTCAAGCGCCAGATTGCAACGGCACTTTCGCCATCTTGAATGGCTCTGCACGATCTCACGTGTCCACCTGTGCGATACTCGAGATATTTCTCATTAAATTATTCTTCACATATTAATCGTTGCAATTGATTAGCATTTTTTAGATATTAATTCATGATCTCTCCTTAAAAGATATGTATAACTACATGTCTTTCATAATTTAATTAATATATGATTTTAATTATTCAAGATTCTTATCAGCGCTTTGAAGAACGTACATTCAATATTATCTACGATATCGCGAATCATTTCCGGTAAAGTTACGATTCTTGTTAGATTACGATTCTTGTGTGCAATTCTAATGCGATGTATAAAGAAAACAAAGGCTAAATGTAAAACTATTTGTAAGAAAATAATTATTATTTAACAGAAAAATTTGATTCAGATCACGAGATTCTCAAATCATTAAGTAAGAATCGTTTCCTATAAGTTACGATTGGTAACGTTTGAAGAACTTTCATATGTTATTTCGCCGAAAATACATCGAACATATAAACAGAATTATTAACTTAGAACATATAAACGGAACTATTTATGAGTTTAGAAAATTAGCGAAAAGGGAAGACTGCAAATATTTTAGTTACTTCTACGGCGTTACGTTCTATGGCGTTCTTTGATGTAAAAGTGAACAGCTGGAAAAATAATTCCGAATTCAATTAAATGAATCAACGTGTTCGTAGTCCTTCTCTAATTTCAACATTCTCCTTGCTCTAATTAGCAACATATATGGTCCGTCTCTATCAATGTCTAAGATCGATGCGGAAATATGATAGCCGCTTATACCGGTTGATGTATGTAGAATATCGGCGACAACGAGAGAGCTGAGTAGACAAATCTGTTACTCACCGGCAAAGACGAAAGCTGCTACCAGGAGCAGCACCAACGAGGACCTCATGCTCCTCGGTAAAGAATACAACTTCCTCTTCTCGACCACGTCTTCGTCGTCGTCGTCTTGCCACGAGCTGCTTCCAGGATATCACCCACTTCCTTACCCCTCAATCACTCCCGTTCAACTGACGTTCGAAACGCTACTGTTTAGGAAGGGATAAAAGGGAACCGATCGGGGTGGGGTAGCGATGTAGGAACGTACCCGTTCACCACTTCTGGGACGAGGTAGGACGCGATAGAGGATTAAATGCTCAAACAGGACTCTAATTCTAGGACGAAGAAGACCCAAGCTAGAACTCAGTCGCGAGACGCCTATCGGCGATCCTCTTCATGTAACGACACACGAGTCGGACGAGGACGAGTAACGCTTTCAAGGACGCGGACCTTGAAGGTGTAGGTACCGCTCACGGACTGGCTGAGACCCGCCACTGGTCGGGCCTTATATTGCCACCACCACAACGATGTACGATCGGGTCCCCTCTTTCTCTTCTTTGAGTATTGCCACCCGTGCAAATCGTACCTCCGTTGATCCAGGTACGTATGAAATCGTCGAGACACCTTGTTTTCTGAAATACTCCAAGCATGATATACCACCACGACGATTACGGATCCGATTGGATCTGAATGGAGCAAACGCTATCGCATCCTTCCATGCAAATGCTGATTGCAATTGTTGACTCGATAATCAGCAGTCTTTGACATTCAACGTGAATGTACTTTTCACCTTGAAAGCAACGTAACTTCATGATTAATATAATAATGTTCAAATGAAATGAATTTCGAAAATAATTGAACACGTCATGAAGTGTAAAACTTACAACAGCGATGAGTTTTTCTATCATGCTAGATGCAGATTTAATCCTACAAAGCTATGTAAATTTAGATCTCCTTGAAAATATTTTGATCTGTGACGATCATTAATCGCACGATCGTATGTAGGAAGAGAAGAATAATTGGTCGATAATTTCCCAGCGGTATGAAAGTATAAGGTACAGTAATTCATCGGTGGGGTAAGTTCCAAGCATATAACCTCGACCTAGGAACTTAAAGAGACGTATCTACATCTCTTGTCTCTAATACTGTTTCATTATTTTATGCATTCCCGCAAAAAATTCCCGTGCAATGTGATATACGTTTCGCTATTCTCGTAGATTTTATCTCTATGGCTATTAATTGAAAGTACATAAATTAAGTTCAGCGATATGGAAATTTATGGTGAGTGGGATAAGAATGATAAAAGGATCGTATGACCGATCATTATATAGAATATTTCTTTATAATAGTAGGGAATGTATCCATGCATAAATCTTTTGAAACGCTGTAAAGTTAATAAAATCGGCGAATCAGAATAATTTTAAAACAAACACAATTAACTTTATATTCAAACTTCAGTTTTTCTTTACTGTTATTTTGATCATTTCACACATCGCTAATTATTTTATTTATTTTTTATTTCCCATTTAAATTATTTAATTAAATATTACATTACTAAGTAGACTTTTTTATATTAATATTATGTTTTATTGCGTTTTATTTTAGTTTTAGATATAGTTTAGTTTTTAGATTTAGGTTTGTAAATAGCTTTATTTTATTGCTAATTATTGCTAATATCTAGTGTTTTGTGGTGCAGATTAAATCGGACCTCTTTTCACGTAGTTCCTTTTATGTCTACCCATATTTCAATAAAGTTTTTAGTATTATTATTAAAATAAATATTATTATATTATTGTTATACATTATTATATATTATTATATATCATTATATATTATTATTATTAAAACAAACATTATAATGTTGAGAACTGAAGTTCCGATTTTTTTCAGTATTTTTGAATGAAATGAGAATATCTCTAATATTTTTTCGGCTAAACGATGATGTCATCACTGGCATTTTAGAAAAATTTACGTTGACAAAATGAGAAAGTGATGAAAAATGATGTAAGTTTGTCAAGGTCGAAAGAATAACGACTTCCTTGACATCGCTTAGCATTTCGGTACATAAAATCAATGTAAATTAGAAAATCAAAGAAATATGTTTGAAGCATGTCAAAAGTATAGTACGATCGAAATGTCTGCAGGAACTGCGTCGCTGTTGAGATACCATTGGAGAAATGACGATAATATACTTATATTTCTTGCGCATCATGGATTCAATTAACAATCCTTAATCGCTTCTTAGTTTATCGGCTTTAAACCGCAGTAAGTCGTTCCTTCGATAGGGAAGCGAATCTTCAAATCGCCCGTTAACATTCTTCTATTGTAGCGATGAAGTAACGATTCTAGCAATTTAAGTTATTCGCGAATTTGTAATCGATCAGTTTGCAACGTCAAACTTCCGCGTGTTTTACTCAAAAAGAACGATTTTGCTGAAATATTAAAAAATTTAGGTTAATTCAGATTGGCAAATAATTTTGTTAGACCATTAAAATAATTATATCGGCAATTCAAGCACGATAAACTCGAGCTTGCGTTTCACATAGAAAGAAACATTTTGCTGAAGCATTAAAAAATTTAAACAGATACATGAAAAGAATGATTTTACTGAAATATCTAAAAATTTCAGCTTAAACGTTCCACATAATTATAATATTTTGATAGTCTAATAAAATTATTTTCTTACCTACATCTAGCTAAATTTCTTTAGTACTTTAGCAAAATCGTTCTTTTCGTGCACAGATCTGAAAATTTTATTGAACTATTAAAATAATTATGTAGAAAACTGAAGTATATATGATAAGCTCAAGCTTTCGCGCGTTTTGGATAAAAAGAACAATTTTCTAAAGTATCTAAAAATATAGGTATTATAGCTATCGATCTGAAAATAATTTTGTTGAAAATAATTATATAGAAAATTCAAGTGTGATAAAAAACATTCTAGAGAGCAGCCAGCTTCAACACCCTGCATAACATATTTTGATAAACCAACATTTTTCTTAGCTACATTTTTCCGTGCTTCCGGTAGAACAGCTCGTATGCGTCGCAAATCCGGATACGTATATCGGCGGCCAACTATGAACGCCGGGTAGTAACGTTATCACTAACGTCCGAGTGTTTTACGTAATATTTGTTTATATCGATCGGCAGATCGCGAAAATTTGCCTGCATCGCGCGGCAGCTTTCTACGATGACCTAAGATTTTTACATAACGCTGAGAAATGAAGCGAATAAATATTCGTTCGTCGCTCCTTGCTGTTGTTTTGCATTTTCTTGCAATATTATTGTACACGAGCGAAACACCATCGTGCTGCACAGCACCGATCTATCATCATCATTGTCGACGCCGTTGTGGATTTGCGGTCAAAAGTGAAACGATCGTGAACACAGTTTCATTTGCGAATCGGATGCTGATCGCCTCACGCGCCAACTAATGATAGACCGATAGATCGAAATATTACAATATCGTGACACACAATCGTCTCTGGAAAGCGGCGGCGGGGGCGGCGGCCGGCGGGCGCGCAATGCCGCACGACGCCCGTAATCACCCGCGGGCGTCGTCCGGGCAGATCTTGTTCAAATGTCAAAGCAGGAGAAAGAAAGAGAAAGACAGGGAGGAGGGCAAGGGCTCGTTTGGCATTTTGGACGGGCCCGTGCAGATGTGCTTATTGCACCATCACGTCGGACTAACTCTCGACATAAATGCCAAGCGGTGCTCGCGAATCTCTCCGTGGATTCCGGGATGGATCGCTTTTCGTTGCGAGCCGATGAGTCGGCGAGAAAAGCATTGTGGACCTGTATGAGAATGCCGTCCTTTTGTCGATTGAGAATTCCACGGCGACAATGCGCTATCGCGTATGCGGCGATCACCGTGATTTGCGAACACATGCCCAGCATCCATTTAATGATTTTTTTATTAACATTCGTGCGTGCATATTTTGTTATTTTAATTATTTTCACGTTTATTTTGAACAACTTTCGCGGATTCCAATTTTTAGTCGCGGTTCTAATAAATATATAGAAAAAACGGTTTTGCTAGAATATTAAAAAATTTAGTTAAATCTAGATTTGAAAATATTTCAATAATTTTGTTGGATCATCAAAATAATTATGTAGGGCGCTCCAACTGGAATGTTAAAACTTTGCAGTATTACTTATCATGCTTGAGCATCTTATGTAACCCTGTTTAATCCAAACTCTTCGCAAAGTGTTATAATATATAACTTTTTTCGCATTGAACACGATATCGTCGGGATTTGTACTAAATTCGAGTATAATAGAAAAATGGGAGATAACTTTTTACTCATTTCATCCTAATCTAAAAATCCTGTTGCTACGCAAATTCTGACGGCGTGTTCAGTGCAGAAAAATCTTTGGGATATGTACTATGGCACTTCAAAAAGAGAAAAATGATTTTGTTAAACTGTATTATATCAGAAAGTTTAAAATTCGAATAGCCATAACTTAATGAAAATAAATCGTATATATATATATAAAATCAAATTAAATTTCATTTGAAAGCTCTTGAATTGTATTTTTAGACACTGTAAACTTTATTTAGCAACAGGATTTCATTTTGCTGTAAAAATTGTTGGAAATGACTAAAACGCTATTTTTATCTATTTCGATTTATTCAAAATCCTGACGGGCTATACAAATTCAACAACATGATGTTTCCGCATGAAAAAAGTTTCGCATGAAAAAAATTTCGAGGTATGTACTGTGGCACTTTGAAAAGAATAAGAAAGTGATTTTTTGTCAAATAATGTAATTATTTTGATAATTCAACAAAATTATTTTCAGATCTGTACTCTGGCTAAATTTTTGAACACTTTAACAAAACCTTTTATATACACTCGAATATAAAAGAAGTGAGGCATCTCTCGACTCTTCGATGTTCGTATTTTCTAGTAGCATAATCGGATATTGCGCACCTCTCCATATGGTGCAATCATCGACACAATGTTCACTGAACAGTGAACTCGAAACTACTAGAAAGTATGTCCCGACTTTAATACAGCTACTGCAATAAATACAAAACTTGCATCCTAAAATCAGCGACTATTTGACAACACTATTTATTTCACCTTTCCGCGCTTCGTCTCATGCATCGTGCTGATCTTACAATAGCACATTTTTTTCCGATGCAATCGCAGGCATGTGCATTGACTTCATCGTTAGAGGATCCATCGCGGATCCACACGCGCCAGGAATTTGCCCTTTGCCAGATATAAAACCAGCGACCGTGCAAAATGCCACTTAGCTTGCCTAAGTAGCGATGCGAAAGTATCGAAACGCGCTATCATTATCGTTCAATTACACGACTTAACGGCATTCTTATTGTCGCTCGGACGTTTCTCTCAAATTCATTACGCGTCGCGATCGATCGGCGCGATCGACCGGTGGATCGTTAAAGATCACAAGATGAGAAAATCCTCGGGAGACAGGAAGATCCTCCTCTCGATCGCGATAGACTTCCTCGATCCATGGGAT